CTTTAAGATTTATTCTTGATTTCTTCACTGATTCTGATGTACCAAATGATAAACTTGAATGAGCCGTTGTACACCCTTGCTATATGCAGATATGGTATGCAATATTAAATGATCCACTGAAATGATCTACACGTGATTAACCAAATTATATAAACAAAAAGTAATGCACTTGATCAACATTATATCAAGAGTAACATATGCTTATGAAAAATAAAACAAAATATATTTGCAAACAGATGCAGTTCATCACAGCTACAACATGGACCAAACTATACAGGAGGACAGAATCCAAGTCAAGAAACATAATGTTGGCAATTGGACATTTATTTCTCAAGTCTTCACGGTGTTCAACAAAAAACGAAATAATTAAGAAATCAAGGCTACTCTGTACTGAACGATAATCTGCACCGACGCCTATTAGTTTTTGGTGATGATTACTTGGCATTTGCAAAATCAAGTAGATCTTTAAAAATGGCATCTTCTGGTTTTTCTTGTTTGGAGGTTGGTGATTTGATTGAGAGATTCTGGGTTAGTACAGCTAAAGAAATCATAAGAACCCGACACACTACTCGAATTAGCGAGGCCACCACCATAAACATGTTGTTCCTCAAAAAACTGCTGCCTTCGGTTGTACCTAGAAGGTGGAGGTGGGATGACATTTGGGGACAGAACATCCCAAGGAGCACGAGGCAATTGGTCGGCAGATTTGCTTGTAGGAACAGGCTCTTTGTAAGCAGGTTTTGGTGCGAACATTGATGCTGTGGGATTGATGAAATCAAGAGGGGTAGAAGATAGCATCGGACTGGGGGGATGGACCGGATTACGGTTGTTGGAATTGTCTGGGACAGCAGTATGTATAGATCCCGATGCTCCTGAAAATCGCTCTGTCTTGTAAACATCACCACTGAGATAATCAACCATTCCCGAGTCTGCACTAGTTGGTTTCCTTGATGGAGGAGGAAGAATGCGACTGATCCACACAGGTTCTCTCTTAGAACCGACTGACTTCTGCCCTTGTCCTTGCATTGTATCCCTTGACGATCTGCAATTACATGCAAGATTATCGGTCAAAATTGAAAATAAGTTACTTTTTTTTTTTTTTTAGTAAGAAAAGAGAAGCTATAAAAATAAGCAGCCTTTTCATTTTTAAGGAAAAAGAGTAAGTTATCCAAACATGTTTGGAAACAAAAAGATATTAAAAGTGACCCAGATGTCACCACACTAATACGTTCTTACCTACGAAATATATGCAAGAGAATTAACGAATGTTCTTAACTACTAAATATATGCAAGAGAATTAGCGAGCTTAAATTGATAAATAAAAAAGGGAAAAAAAAAAACCACTAATCTTCCTCCTAGTTCAATTAATTTTACACACTTGTTCGGGGCCTAAAATATAGATATTTAGTAGTTCTTTTGACAAAATATATCATAAATTATTGTATTTTATGTTATATAGGCTTTTCAATGGTTAAACGAGGAATTGAAAGAAACAAAAGAAAAATCGAGGAAAAATTGGCAAAATCCAAAGTTTGAGGACCAAATTGTAAATATTCAATAGTTGATTTGGACCACAAGACGATACTTTAAAGATTGCTAGGAGACAATTGGATGGAATTATAACTCAAAAAGAAATTAAATATGATCAAAATATTTTCAAAATCAATTTCCAAACGCTAGGGATGGCAAAAAAACCCGATAAACCCGATACCCGCGGGGACCCGCCCCGAACGGAGAGAGGAAAACCCGCTTAAACGGGTAACGGGGCGGGAATGGGGCGGGGAATTATTCCCCGA